CATCCTTTCGAAATTTGTTACGAAAATACACTTGAGTGGCCTATTGTACCTGCCCCGGGTGATTATGATGATGGAGAATTCTGTAGACAATAGATGCATGTTATCTCGGAGGTCTCCCCTTAACAAATTGTCCTTGAGCAAGCGAAAAATTTGTGAGGGCCTTGTGTCCGAAAAAGCTGCATGAATGTATTTGCCTAGATCTGCTTTGTCATAGAAACAATGAGTTGAAATAAACAAACAAAAAAAAAACGACAGAAGGAAAGAATAAGAATAGAAAGAAGATAAAATAATTATTTCTTCGTTCACCGAGTTCATCATTACTTTTAGCCGAAATCTGGAAGTTATGACTGGAGTTTACTTCCTCCAATTTTTTCCCCCTTCGAATTACATACAAATGCATCTTACACATTTCTCTAAACCAGTGATTTCTATAAGATGACAGCATCAGGTAATAAACTGAGAATATGTTCGACTCCATAATGAAACGAAAATATAGGAAATATAATAATTCATACGCTAAAATTGGCGTTGACCCAGAAGCCAGGCGTTCCCGAAGCTGTGCAAAATGTTGATATTATTATGGGCAACTGCCCACTTATTGCGCACTGCCAAATCAACTAAATATGAGACCCCCCTCTCCTGCCATCTGCCTTCAAAATGTATAATAAAAGAGTTGGCCTGTAGATTCAGAATTGATAGATTTGCCAATAAATTTTTACCCGGCTCCCGTGGCGATTTTCATCGGAGACGGGCATAGCAAACCGTTTAGAAGTGGGCCCTTTAAATTTGCACGTAAACTCTCTCAGTCCTGAGTTCAATGCTGAGACATTCCATACATGAGCGGGAACGGATTTCCCACAGATTCTCTGTCTCCGTTACGTTCATTGCTTGATTCTGCACATTCGCAGTTCGTCACCAGCAACCCCTTAAATAATTCCCATACTTAATATAGGACCAGTAAGTGATCTGCCATTGGTAATGTAGTTATGAATATTCAGATAGTTAACATGTGGCGCTATTTAGCCACATGTATGTTATGAATACAAGCAAAGTGTTGTCACGTGTAAGGTGGTACGCGTGACGAAAATAACGGGTTCTAGTTCGGTTGACTGTATTTATTAGCACCTTGGTTACAAGTTCTCCTAATCACACTTAAATACAGCGCATCGCTGTCCTGCACACTTTCCTGTCACCGTTGCACACGCACCAGAATTCCCAGTCTTCACTAGTCGTTTCCTGGAAACGGATCTCAATACCGAAACTAGCACTGCAAATCACTATAAAGTCTTGTTGCTCTTTCGTCTTCAATCACTCTGGAACCTCGGAACAAAAAATTCTTCTGGACTCACTCCTCCAGCTTACGACTGACTCGTAACTGCTCTTGTCAATGTCAAAGTCACATAGCGACTGACGGTCAGTCAGTCAGTCAGTCAGTAAATCTTGGTGTCGAGCCCTATCTGAGATTCATGACCAGATATTTATTACTCTTTTACAGTTACGGTATTGCTTTTGTGGGGCGCCCTCTCTGACGAGAGGACGGATCTGTCTTTTGTATATGCTGCTGGCCCTTGCCAGTGCACTCTTTCTCGGGTCCGAGTCCCTTGGGACTCGCGACCATATTTTACTGTCTCAGATTTGTAACATAACTCTGTCAACTTAAAGTCACATTGCGATGACAGTCAGTCAGTAAGTCTACTGACTTACTGGTCATGAGCCCCATGTGGGGCTCATGACCAGATATTTATTATTCTTTTGCAGTTACGGTCTTCTTTTTGTGGGGCGCCCTCACTGACGAGAGGACGGGTCTGTCTTTTGTATATGCATTCACTTTTATTATGAACACTGCACAGGCACCACGGAAAACACCGTCTCTCTTGTTGCTGACGTCATTGCTTATGCGGAAATGAGTTTACCTAGCCATTGCTTGGAAACGGGTTGCATAACTCCGTTCTTTTACCGCTGCTCCGCGCGGACGACGTAGAAAACGCATCCTAATCTATTGTTGCATGTTGGACCGCGTTTACAGAGCTGTTGCCTGTAACGAGTTGATGAAATCTGTTACATCAACATCCCCTCAGTTGAAACGACCGTTCAGAGAACACAGATCGAACACTTAACTGAAAATGAAGTTGTGTCCTGTCGAAATACTTGGCAACATAATATTATATACAGGGTGTCCCAGGAGAAATGGACCAAACTTCGGGAGGGTGTTCCTTATGTTAAAGTATGCCTATATAACCCAAAACACCTATGTCCAAAGTTGAACGGTTACGGAGATAATGGCCAGAGAAGTGTCAAACTTTGACCGGCGTTGCACACTTGTTGATTACAAAATACATATGAAAACTGGCAGGAATATGTGGATTCTGTAATGTTAATAACGTACGTAACATAAAACTAACTTGTGAGTGACATGAAGCCATAAAATTGAAGTACAAAATACTCGCTCGCCATGTCATAATTGTCCTTAGGTTTCCCAAGCACTATACATGACACATGACTGGCGAGCGATGACGTAATATGACTGACTGCGCGTTCTGATAAAGCCAACTACATACGTACGGCTAGGGTGAATCACGGCACTCAAGGACAAACATAGATAAGGCCTCTCAGCTGACAGGTACAGTGCGTGGACCCGCCAGAAGACCAAACTTTTCTTGGGCCATTATCTCCGTAACCGTTCAACTTTGGACATAGGTGTTTTGGGTTATATCGGCATACTTTAACATAAGGAACACCCTCC